AACTAGAATCCTTTTCCCCCTTCGAAACATGTAAAGATAACTCTTGTAAGGAAGAATCAGCAGTGACTTCCTCACGGACAACAACTAGAAGCAAAAACCGAGGGTGGCTGATTGCACTTAACACCTTTTCATCATTGGAGCGCCATGATAGAGCATCAGCAGCCCGGTTTAAATAGCCAGCCCTATATTCGACAGTAAAATCAAACCCCAAAAGTTTGCTAATCCAGTGTTGTTGGGGAGAAGTTGTGATCCGTTGCTCTAATAAAAATTCCAAGTTGTAATGATCGGTGTGGATAAGAAAGGCTCTTCCCCACAAATAAGGTTGCCAATGTTGCACTACCTTTGCCAACCCGATCAATTCCCGTTCATAGGCAGCAAGTTTTTGGTGCCTTTCAGCCAATTGGTGATTGAAAAATGCAATAGCGTGGTTGTTTTGTTGAACAGCCCCGATACCTCCTCCGGAGGCATCACATTCAACCACAAACAATTGATCAAAATCTGGTAATTGCAATACCGGAGCAACAACCAATGCTTGCTTCAATTTATCAAAAGAGAGCTCGGCGCTCTCATCCTAATGGAAGGAGTTTCTTCGTAACATACTACTTAATGGTGCTGCCAACTGCCCATAATCCTTAATGAATTTGCGGTAATAACCGGCCAGCCCCAAGAATCCGCGCAAGGCTGTCACTGATTGTGGTTTTGGCCATGCTGTTACCGCTTGAATTTTTGTCGAATCCACTGTTACACCTGTTGCAGAAATAATGTGCCCAAGGTATGCAACTTGGGTCTCCCCGAAAGCACATTTAGACTTCTTCAAGTACAGATGGTGAGCACGCAATAATTCAAAAGTAACACGCAAGTAAAGCAAATGATTGGTCCAAGAATGGCTGTAAATTAAGATATCATCAAAGAAAACCAATATAAACTTGCGTAAGTGAGGACGAAATACGTCATTCATGAGTGCTTGAAATGTAGAGGGGGCGTTGGACAAGCCAAAGGGCATGACCAAGAACTCAAATTGCCCATGATGTGTCCGAAAAGCTGTCTTCTCTACATCCGAGTCATGCATCCTCACTTGATGGTACCCTAATTTCAGATCCAATTTAGTGAAGTACTTGGACCCATGCAATTCATCAAGTAGCTCGTCTACCACCGGAACGGGGAATTTATCTTTAACCGTTTTAGCATTGAGCTCGCGATAGTCTACACAAAACCGCCAAGTTTCATCATGCTTCTTAACCAGTAAAACCGGCGGAGATAAGGGAGATTTGCTTGGTCGAATGATCCCTTGTTGAAGCATCTCAACACACTACTTTTCGATTTTGCCCTTCTGCAAATATGGGTATCGATAAGGCCTAACTACCACCGGTCCCGTTCCGGGTTGTAAACAGATTTGGTGGCCACAATGGCGGAGAGGAGGTAGGCCAGATGGCTCCTGGAACAGATTAGTAAACTCGGCTAGAAGCTGGTCTAATTCCTCCTGATGAGAATGGGGTCTGTTAAGCAGGTGAAGCTGCTAGCTATGGTGGGGCTGCATTCCATGTAATATAATTCTATTGCCCCGGAATGTGAAACTCATGGTCAGAGATACAAAGTCCCAAAGGATGGGTCCCAGAGTTTGCAACCATTTGATTCCTAATACCAAATCAAAACTAGCCAGGGGAAGAAAAAAAAAATCAGCAGTACAAGGACACTTTCTGCTGATTATCATCAAGTGAAAAAGTTATCGCATTACAAATTCCCGCACTGTGGACACTTTCTCCATTTGCTACTGAGACACTGGCCCCTGTTTTAGGCTGGGCATTGATTCCGAGGCTTTTTGCAGTTGTTAAACTGATGAAATTGTGCGTACTCCCCGAATCTACCAAATCTTGTAAATTCTAATTGTGCAAGGCAGCCTTCACTTGCATGGTGCATGTCCCTTTTTGACCCGTGATTGCATGCAGAGAGATCTCCGGTTCCCCATCGATAACAGCTGTTGGTTCCATCTCATCTGAATCTGTCAATTCAAGCTAGAAAAGCCTTTTACATTGATGCCCAGCTGAGTATGTCTCATCGCAGTTGTAACAAAGGCCCTTAACTCTTCTTTCCACCATCTTTGCCCTTGATAACTTCTTGACGAATGGCGTGTTCAAGGGTTTGACCTCCGTTTGTCCTCCACCAGCAGCAGTGGTAGTACTTTTAGGTGGCGTAGTTACTGCTGGTAGTGCCCCGGAGGTGGCGCCAGTTTTACTGTTTAACCATGAACCCTTCTTTGGCTCGGCTTCTTTCAGAATACGATGTTTGGACTCAAAGACTCTTGCTAAATTCATCGCGTTAGCCAAATCAGGTGGGGCGTGAAGCTCCATCAAACTTGTTGGCTCTTGCCAATCTTTCCTGAAATTGCCTCTGATAGTCCTCTACGGACCCGGTCTGTTTCAAGTTCACCAGTTTTCCCAACGAATTGCTTCTGGTTGGCGGTCCAAACCTCAGGGAACAATAGTCCTTGAATCCGGCCCAGTTGATTATGGGTTGTTCAAATTCTAACTGATGGTACTATAGCTACGCTTCGCCTAGCATATGGAAGGCAGCCAATCCCACCTTATCCCCTTCCTGTGTATGTTGATTGGCGAAGAACTTCTCACACCGATGCAACCATCTTAAAGGATCTGAAGAGCTGTCAAAAGTTGGGAAGTCCAACTTGGTGTAGCAGGGAACAACGTCGTTTCCGGGCTATGGTGTTGCACCTTGCAACCGATTTCCTGCGTGACGCACTTGGGGTGGCTACTCTTGTGGGTTGTTGTAGCTTGCAGTTCCTTCGGACTCAATTCTTATGCTTCGATTAAACCCAACCAGTATCTCCTTGAATTGCGATGACAACTCCTGTAGGTGACTGCCCAATCGTTGTTCAATCTCCGTTGCCCGTGCTTCGTTTGCGATTTGTGCCTCTTGTAACATCAATCGCAGATCCTCTTTTGTGGCAGAGTCGCCCATCATGCTTGACTTTGATACCATCCCTAACCAAGGATCTTGTCATGGGGTGATTCACTAGGAAATCAAGTTCCAGAATCTGCTTCTTCTCTTTATTACAATTCTTTGAGCGACCTATTGTGAATTATAATCAAACTCATCAAAGAGAGCTTGGCACCTTGGACCTCGTTAGAGAAAGCTCGAATCTCTATATTTATGATTAAAATTCGGCTTAGGGTTTTTATTAATTCTAGAGTCCTTTAAATAGGACTAGTCTCCTTAAAAATATAGGAAACCTATAAGTCAGGCTCCTTATAACCGAAATCAGGAAAAGACCTAATTAGGAGATAAGTCTCCAACTAAGCAACAATAACGTTAAAAACAAAATAACAAAACATAACCTAAACTATATAATTCCAGCTACTTATTTGCCATGCCTTCTATAAGAGGGACCCACAAAGGAGTCTATAACACAAACCCTTTTTTTTTCTTTCTTTCTTTTTTTTCATAGGCAGGGGTTTGGGAGGAGTAGTGGTTCTATTTGTGTGGTCTGGCCGATTCACTTGCTTAGGAGTAGTTTTTTCTTCCCTTTCCTTATTTATAATTGAAATGTATCTGCCTACCTCTAGATTAAGGAGACAGAAAACTGTTGGTGCTTGCCTTGTAACTCCCCGATTTCCCCGAATGTGTTACATGATAAATTAATTCACAGATTCCACCCAGCATATCTCCAAATAAAAATACTAGAGCTTTAATTACCTTAATAAAAATTAAATTAGTAATAAAATTTCCAAATACAAATTGAGCTCACAATTTATTACAAAAATTATCATCTCCAGCTCTTCCAATATTCAAATCATGATCTATGCTCTATAATCCTCATGAAAAAATTAATCAAGTGAGAAAGTATACAATACGACGGAAAATAATATGATCAGCGATAAAAGTGTGAATCATCGGATGTCAAACAACTCAATTGATAAGCAATTGCAGAATCATGAATCAAATACAATATATCGCCTTTTACTTTGTTCATCTTGGTAACATGACAAGTGACACTTAGGCATAAATCCGAACTCGTACCGATCAATCACATGCAAGGTCACAACCACACCTTGTAGGGCTACATTCACGTTTCACAAAATATGTGTCAAGTGCACTTTGTACATTTACCAATCAATCCCAAAGTAATTAGCCAAATACAAGCTAACTTAATAAATAAAACATACAAAATTTTATGACAATCAAAAATAGCGAATAAAAGGAATATGAATTTCGAAAAAATCAATGGAATATCTTTGTAAAGAGATTTATAGATAGAAGTATATTGTATATTATCCCGTACTTTAAACCAAAAAATTATGCCAATGGATTTAATTAGTACCATCTAGGAGCAACATACAAAAATTTCATCTTGATCAGGGTTCGTTTCACTGTTGATTTTGACACCACGTATTTCTCTTTTCTCTCCTTTTTCTGTCTTTGGTGTGGCTAACTAGTGAGGGAAAGGGTTGAATTTATAGGAAAAAGGAAGCAGGTGGTGGCACCTTAGATGCCAAGAATCTCTCCTAGCATGACACTTGTCATATATGCAACGTGACAAGTGTCCAACACTTGTCACCCACACCCGCCCAAGGCTTTGTCATGCTTATCATGTGTCATCTCCATATTAATACACACAAACACCACTTTTATCACGTTTCCTATGACACACCAAAGTTTACACTTATTACACCTCGCTTACTGCCGGTTTTTAGCATCACTTTTTTTTTTTCTGATATGAAACATATCCAATATTGCAGTCATCGGCTCGTCTTTACATAAGGAATCCATGTATGTATTTGTAATCTCCAAAAATAAATTATTTTGATTACATAAACTTTTAACATTTCTCAAAATTTAATTCCCAATTGTAACTCTTATTTTATAAAAATTTGGGATTTTACATGCCCTGATAAACTTATCCTGAATTGAGCTTGCTTATGTAGGTTCCAAGATATGAGCGTGGAAATTTTGTGGGTCCTACTATCTTATGTGATGTTACAACCAGCATGGACTGCTACAAGGTATCTCTTTTCATGCCTTCTATAGCTATATGATTGATGGATCAAAAAAGATGACTGTTAATGTTGAAAAGAAGAGTTGACCATAGACCTTCGAATATTCTTGGTCTAATATTCTATTGGGCCATGCAGGAGGAAATGCTTGGACCAGTTCTTCTTTGTATGCAGGTACTGCTAAAATTAGTAAACATTGTTTCCTCTATGATTATATCAGTTGCTTAAGCAGTACATTATTAACGTATATTTATTTGGACCATTAACAGGCTGACTGTCTTGAAGAAGCCATAACTATTGTCAATAGGAACAAGTAATTGCCTTCACTCTTATTTCTTTTGAATTTTTAATGTCAGATTTGGATGTCTATTCAAGTTTCTTTTCTCATGCAGTTTCTGTTGCTTTATTGTAATTTGTAAATGACTTTTTCGGATAAGATATTTTGAAATGATTCTAGTATTTCTCCCTACTAGTAATCAAGAGATATCATGATATTCCCCACCTTTTTTCTGTATATTTGAATGTTGTTCTGGTCATGAATTCTTTCTCTACCCCAAGGACTATTTTAGAAGTTCTGGACATATACTCAGATATTAAATTTCAGGAAACGTAATCAATCATATGTTTACATGTTTCCTTCTAGCAATATGTTGAAATCACACTCATTTTGCCTTTGACAAATCAAAACTCTTTGAATTACTTTTCTGCCTTGTTATTCCTGGTCTCCTGTTGTTTCAGATATGGATTTGGAGCTTCCATATTCACTACATCTGGTATTGCTGCTAGGAAGTTCCAGAATGAAGTTGAGGCTGGGCTGGTAAGCCAACTCATCTCATCTGGCAAGAATTGCTTGAACTTGTTTATGTTCAACTGCATGATTTGGATTTTCTCTGACATGATCAAGGGTGACTCAGGTTGGCATAAATGTTCCTGTTCCAATTCCATTGCCATTTTCCTCATTCAATGGTTCCAAGGCATCTTTTGCTGGTGATCTGAATTTCTGCGGTATGTCATCTTCTCTCTCTTTACACAAACACACACCCAATACGTGTACACAGTTGCTTTACCGACCGTTATTCCCTTCCTCTTTTTAATGGCAACGTAAATAGCTTCTTTACTTTATTCTGAATTGCAGGGAAGGCAGGTGTGCAATTTTACACTCAAATTAAAACAGTAGCACAACAATGGAAGGACTTACCAAGCCGAAGAACGTCACTACATCTCCCTCCAACCTCTGAGGCAGAAATAACAAGTCGAGTAGGATCCCTGGTGCAGCATCGAACATCTGAGAGTGATTTACCGAGCCATGAATTATCACCAGCCATGCCTTCAGCATCCGAGAGAGATTTAGCTAGCCAGAATACACCCCTGCCCTTGTCTCCTGCATCAGAAGGGGACTTGCAAGACCCTGGATTGTCACCTTCTATTCATCCAACCACCGATAGTGACTTCCTGAGCCAGGATGGGTCGCTGAACATTCCTTCAACATCTGAAAGGGATTCAATGAACCATGAAATGTCGCTATCTGCACCTCCAACTGCAAGGGATGTGCCAGGCCAAGTGACACTCCCTGTGCCTCCAACATCTGAGAGGATGCTAGTATCTCAAACATCCAAGTGGGATCGCACTCGACCCTTGACATCCCAAATGACTGAAACTCTTTTGTCAACCTCTGACAGAATTTATATGCCTCCAACTTCTCAGAGGATTGATAACATGGCTTCAACATCTCAGAGGATGAACGCTGCTGTTTCTTTGACTTCTGAGAGTTTATACATTCCTGCACCTCCGAGGAATGATGTCGTAGATCCAGTATCTCTCAGGAATGATGGTATGGGGTCAATTTCGCAAAGGACAGATGCTAATATTTATCCAACTACTGAGAAGGTATACTTGCCTACGATGTCTCACATGAATGAAAATATTGGTCCAACATCTCAAAGGACTGACGCTACCATGCACCTGAATACCGAGAGGTTATACGTGCTGACATCTCACAGGGGTGACAATATGAGCTTGATGTCTTTGAGGAATGACAATTCTATGCATCCAGCTTCAGAGAGGATGTACATGTCAACATCGTACAGGAGTGACATGATGCCTTCTCAAAGGAATGATGCTATGCCCCCAACTTCTGAGAAGATGTATATGCCTGCAGCAATTCAGAGGAATGATGGTATGGTATCAACGTCGGAGAGGTTCCCTTCAACCTCCCAAAGGACGTATGTTCACACCCCAATGGCATCTATCGATGAATATGCTGATGATGGAGTGTCGCCGACTTTGCCTCCATCTCAGAGATTGTAGGATTTGCTCTCCCCTGAATATTTTTATATTTTTGGGATCTTTGTTGTTTTATTACCACATTTTCTAACTTATTTCCGAGATACTATTGTTTCTATAAAAACGTGGTTTAAACTCATGTTTTTTAATTTAAAATAAAAACTTAAGTTTAAAATATGCTTTCATGTGAACAATAGAAAGTTGGTTTTGTGTTCTTTTATTTTTATTTTTATTTTTATTTTTGGTCATGAAATTGATATGCAAATAGATTATTTTACATATCTATTACGGAGTACTCCTTCCGTTCCTAAATATCTGTAGTTTTACACAATTTTTTTTGTTCTATAATATCTATCGCTTAATGAAACTAAAACATAATTAATATTTTTTCTTTCAAATTTACCCTTAACTTTTTAATGCATTAGATTTGGTGGAGGATAAGTGCTTTTCATATTCTTTTTCTTCGTAATACATATTGAATAAGAGTATTTTAATTTTGTGTAATTATTTTTTACTCATATTTGAGTTATTTAAAACTTTCTTAATCTCTGTACAAAAACTTTAAATGACAGATATTTAGGAACGGAGTGAGTATTTTT